AAAAGATTTAGATTTTTCTAAAATGTGATGTATGTATATTGTATATCAGTGAATGATAACTGTATCATGTTACTGCTGAATTGAAAAGTAGTTATTGATTGTGATATCATCTGTGTACTATGAAGGCACAGAAATCTGAAAGTTAATTTTCTCGCCATATTGGAAAAAAGCTCTGGCTGTTTATTGACTCTCGTTGGCGTAACATTCGTGTGTTTTCATTCCGGTTAAAAACACAACACCAACCTATTATATGAAAGTGGATTTTCCTATTACACAGCCATAAAATCTAAATACTAAAGTCGACTTAATCCTGCTTTTGACTTTTAATCAAATTCTCAAATATAAACACATTATGTAATTTTCATGTTAACGCTAATCGTAATTACTTGTGGGAAATATGAAAATTTATACATTGCATATATATATATATATATATATATATATATATATATATATATATATATATATATATATATATATATATATATAGGAGGCGCGGTGGAGTAATGGATAGCGGCTTGGATTGAGTCGGATTGAGTCGTGCTAATACCCTTGGGAAAGTTGTAATCCTTTCTTCTCCCTCCAGCTATGGGTAAATAGCAGGACAGACTGGGTTCTATAGCCTTGGATGGCAACTGGTCTAGATGAAGAACAATTCTGAATTCAATTTTGGGGACCTTGTGGCACGTAGTGCACCAGGTCTCTTTATTCGGCCCTAAAAATGTGTTGATGGTCCTGCACGAAACCTTCACCACTATAATCAAATCTCATGTGCTGTTGTCGGGCTGTCGGTTTCCTGGGAACTGATCTGCTTAACCCTCATACGTCGAATTCGTCGGGAGTCGAGTATATATATATATATATATATATATATATTATTCAAGGCTTTGCTGGCTCGAGCTATGTGGGTAAATATGATGACACTTTTCAGTTTACTGTCAGTTTACGGAATCAACTCTTCTGTTAGACCAGAGGTTCCCAAAGAGGCTCCCCCGGAATCCAGGCATCCCGCAAACGAGTGTCTTGGGTTCCGTGACAAAATTTCAGAATAATATATATTTAACACATTATCAAGTTAGTAAATAATTTCACAAAAATAGTTGCGAACAGATTTAGTATTTGTTGTATTGAGAGATTGTGGTATCTAGTAGTAGTAGTAGTAGTAGTAGTAGTAGTAGTAGTCGTGATGTTATTGACTGGTGGTAGTAGCAGAAGTTGTGGTGGTGTTGCTGAAGTATTAACATCCATTGTTTTGTCTTGTACTTTTCTATCTTAATTTCAGTTATTCTTACTTGTAATTACTCAGACTGTCGTTCTACAGCTAAAAGTAAGCAACTCAGATCTTTAAGTTTCGATGCGAGACTTGCATTGAAGGCTTCAGCTGGTTGTCAATTCTGAAGTTGTACTTTGTTTAGCTTTTGCTTAAATCCAGCACTATGTAATCGTAACACCAAAGTTAGAGGTTTGTAGAAAACACTTTTTCCCAAATTACTGATGTAGTTAATCTAGATGAGAATAAAGTTAAATTAAAAGTCTAAAGCTGGTTATATCTGAAGGTCAGTATTAAACCAGAAAAATGTATGGATTACTAGCAGTCATACCTGGAATTGCTCACAACAGATTCTTTTCCGATTTGTTTTTTCTTAGATTTGCAAATGCCATATAATGGTATTAACGAAATTGAAATTAAAACAGTTCGGTTTAATTGTTTAATTTATACAGGGCCAGTTATTATATAAATATATTATGTTTTAGATTTTCAAAATGGACATTTCAATAATGCAGAGGTACCTAGTGGTTCCGAGGAACCCATGGGTTCCAAGAAGGAGTGTCTGTGGTTCTATGACAAAATTCCAGAGTAATAAATGTTTAACACATTATCAGGGTTGGCAAATAATTTCTAAAAAAAATAGTTGCCAACAGATTTAGATTTGTATAATGTTGTGATGTATTTGTAATACTTTTGTATACCGTATATCAGTGAATGAAAAGTAGTTATTGATTGTGAAATCATTTGTGTACTATGAAGGCACATAAATCTGAAAGTTAATTTTCTCGCCATATTGGAAAAAAAGCTCTGGCTGTTTATTGACTCTCGTTGACGTAAATAGGCAGGGGGTGGAGTTCTGTCCACGAGAAACTCTGCAAGCGTTTTGGATTTTTCAAATAGAGCAGAGGTTCCCAAAGAGGTTTCCGTAGAACCAAGGAGATCTACAAAGGAGAGTCTGGGGTTCTGTGAGAAAAATTTAGAACAATAAATGTTTAGCATAACACATTATCAAGATTTCTATAAAAAAAAGAATACTTGCCAACAGATTTAGATTTTTCTATAATGTTGTTATGTATCTTGTAATATATTTCTATAATATTTCTATAATATTTCTGACAACATGAAACAGAAGCATTGTTCCCATTGAATGATCCAAAAATTATTATTATGCATGAAAATAATTTCATGTCAACGTTAATCGTAATTCTGTTCCACATGTTAACTTGTGGG